TGGTTTGAAATCTTTTTTTTACAATATCAAGTGACGGAACGAACAAGTCGTGTGCCTGATGGTAAACTATACGCCTGTCCATTACAGTTGCAGTGCCACTCAGAACTTTAAATCGAAAAGATCTGAAGGGCACTGCCACTGCGCCCGTCACCCTGTGACATAAGTTGACAAGTCCCATGTGCCTGTAATTTCACCAGGACCCTTACCCTTCAAAACCGGAACACAGTAATGCTGACATTACTGCTTGACGGCAAAAATAGGTAAGGTGGCAGTACTTGCCTTGACGAACTCTTTCACAAGGAGCTGTAGGAGCTACTAGAAATCAAAAGTAAACTGCTTGATTTACTATGAATGAATCGGTACCGTATTAGATAATATAAATTTACCAAATCAACTTGAATTATAATCCAAGTAATAAATTCAAAACTTTCTTAGTATGCGCTTATTTGTTTCATACGTAGTTTAACAGAAAACGTGTTTTTTATTTCTTTACCCTTTCGAATAAGCTTCGACACTTGCCTTATTTATGGAAGTAAACAAATGAGTCATAAAAAGTGAAAACAATAACAATAAAAGAAATTAATTTAAAAGATTGTTCAATGAAGTTTATTACCAGAAATGTTCAAAGCTCCACGATCACGCTTTGTTTGACATATTTTGAAAAGTTCACATACCAATATTGGCGATTTTGTCCTCTGATTTCAGCGTATGAATCTTCGAGAAAGAATCACTACGTATTCTGCCGCGCACTCTTGATATCATTCCCATTTTATATACAAAAATCACACTTGTAATTGATGATAGTTTCAAACTTTTGTACAGTTTAATGTTAGTAAGAATCGCACAAAACTATATAGTGCGTGAAAACTTAATTGAAATTAAAAATAATCGACATTCGGGAGACGCGAATACACCACCGGTTTGAGCGAAGTGTATCACATGAATGCGCATTTGGGCGGGCGGGAGATTGGGCGGCATTGCTTGCGCACGGTGTCTGCTACTCAAATACATTCTATTATTTTTCATTATGCATTTGTAATACATACACTACTGACTACTGCTCAATAACCATGAATACCACGGAAACAGTACCGGCGTTGGATATAAAATTAATATATTAAAACGACACTTATCCAGTGTTGACGAAAAATTGCCTCACGGCGACGACGGTGCAATGACGTTATATTTTTAAATTTAATTCCATGTCACTGACTTCTGAGGCAAAAACACTATCTTCAAATTAGTAGGTGGTTATTCCTACAGCTTGAACTGAATCATACAAACTTCGTTTTCATTCATTTCTTCGAATAGGTGCGTCAACAAATAGTATCTGGAGGTTTATATTACTCCTAAACTAAGTCCAAGATAACCACATATTCCGTTGTCATATAAGGTCACGGCGTCGCGGACATCATACTTCGTAGCGCTCAGATCACAAAACAATCAAATCAAATATTTGACTTTCAGTTCAAAGAAAATAGATCTACCACGAAATACGAACCAATTTATCGCTTAAAGTGGCGGGATGAACAAGCCTTGGACCTTATGGGTCACGCCTATCCATAATCCTTGCAGTGCCACTTAAAACTTTAAATCGCGAAGATCTGAGAGGCACTGCCACTCTCCCGTCACCCTGAGACATAAAGTTGACAAGTCCCAATGTGCCTGTAATTTCACCAGCACTCTCACCCTTCAAAGCCGGAACTCAGTAATGCTCATATTAGTGCTTAGCGGCAGAACCAGGTAAGGTGGCATTACTTCCTGGACGAACTCTAAAAATTCATGAATATCTTACTTTTTGTTACACTTGCATATAAGTATAGATTTTGCATCTATCATCATTACAGTTCCTCATAAACAGTTCCGAAACAAGAACTAATTCTCGTTTTGTAACCATAACTGGTACTGCAAATGATTGGTTCTCTTTTCATTCATATGTATAAACATTTCATTTTTTACATATTTACTTTATTTTTACAAATATACATGTGTAAATTTTTATTGAATTGATATTCAATTTTTTTTATGTGAAATTACTCCACTAGTTTGTTATATATAGATATTCATAGATAGATGGAAAACAGTTAAAAAGTCGTTGAAAAACCAAATACAAAGATACGACGCAAACACATAGAAAAATTCGTGAGGTCCGCTGGTTCATACCGTGGCTTAGTTGGTATAGCGTTTGGCACGATATGTCAGAAGACGTCGGTCCGAATCCGGACGGATCAAAGGAATTTTTTCTGAGGGTTCGATCTTTGTATTAATAATTATATTAACAATAATATACATGTTTCCAAAAATGTATATACAGAGGGCAGAGTTAATATATGAAGTGAAATAAACATTTGTCTGCAACTTTCTGTGGGTTTTAGACCACACATAGTTCTTATGCACCTTTTCTGGGATTTGAATATACTTTCTCTTTCACCACTTTCCCCAGAATACACAGGGCGCACTATAAGTTGCCGGAACTGGCCACTTACATAAACAATATTTAAAAAGTAATTACAACATTTGAAAATGGAACTCTTTCGCTGTAGAATACAGTTTGTTTCATCTGACTGTCACTTGTTTTTACATTGTGGCGTCATTTTAGAAATTGGTTGTCTACATCACCATGGATTTAACTCGTGAAAATTTTCGTAGTATGATTTTTTACAACTTTAAGTGTAATTTAACAGCTCAGCGGAGCTTCGCTCGGCTTCAAATTGCTTTTGGCGACGAAGCACCACGCAAGACGACTATTTATAGCTGGTTTGCAGAATTCAAACGCGGTCGTGTGAATCTAAGAGGCGAATTTCGTGATGGTCGCCTGTCCACTGCTCTGAACAACAAAAACATCGACACTGTGCGCCGTATGATCAAAACAGACAGGCATGTGACATACCATGAGATTCGGATATCTTTAGGCATAGGCATGAGTCAAATACAATCAATACTACACAAACATTTGGGTGTGAAAAAGCTGTGCTCTCGGTGGATCCCACACAGTTTTACTGAGGCTCAAAAAACACTCACTCACTCACTTGTCACTCACTTGTCCTGGTCACTTGGTGCAATGTCATGCTTATCAGATTCAACGAAGGGGCGTCAAACTTGGTGTGGGACATAGTAACAGGTGACGAAACATGGATTTATAGTTACGATCCCAAAACGACGCAGCAATCGAGCGTATGGATCTTTTGAGGTGAGCCGAAACCAACCAAAGTGGCGCGCGTGCAAGGTGCCTCTAAGCGGATGATTGCTTCTTTTTTTAATAAAACTGGACACGTGGCTACTGTTGCTTTGGAGGAACGTTATACCGTGAATAGTGATTGGTACACGACCAGTTGTTTGCTGGAAGTTATTGACAAACTCCGTAAAAATAACCGTAAACGCCGTATCATCTTGCACCACGATAATGCCAGTTCTCACACGGCCGACAGACAAATGAATTTTTAAGGTGAACAACGTTGACCTTATGATCTACCCCGCGTACAATCCCGACCTGGCACCTTGTGACTTTTATTTATTTCCAAAAATTAAGAACCAGTCACGCGGTCAACGATTTTCATCACTGAAGAGACTGTCGAAGAGTAAGGAAAATATGTTTCAGAGATTGTCACGGATAAGTGGCATAAATGTTTTCAAAATTGGTTCATTCGTATGAAAAAGTGCTATAGCGCTAACGGAGAATATTTTGAGAAACAATAAATTCATTTCTGGCCATTTATACTATTTTTTTCTTATCCATTCCGGAAACTGATAGTGCGCCTCACGTATAACAACAAACTTTAATGTTGATGCAACTATAAGCTGCTACTACTACGTATTCCAGTTTTACTTTTTTAGACAAAGCATAGAGCACCTATGGTGATTTATTAAGTTTCCTACAAAGTTCTTCTGCTTGAGATTTCCATATTAATTTATTGGCTAGAGTTACACCTAAAAACTTAGTGACTTGTACCTTTTCCACGTCCTGCTCTTGGTAATTAATACCTAAGATTCAAATTCTAAGACTTCGATAAAAATCCATAATTTCAGTTTTTTCTTAATTTATTGTAAAATCATTATTTGTTAGCTAAGTTGTGATTTTAGCAAGAGCACCATTTATCTTATTTTCATGTGTCTTGGGATCATTATTTTTGGATTTTTTTATGGCCGTATCATCCGCATAGTCATCCGCGAATAGAATCATGTTATGATCATTTATTGTCCTCGAGAGATCATTTATATAATGAGGAACAACATGGGTCCATGGGCGCTGCCCTGTGGAACTGTATAATTTATTCTGATAGGAAAACTTCTTCTTATTTAGTTTTTGGACAAATTTGGATTTCTACTTGTCACTTAAAACAATTCAGGCCAAGTGTCACCATTTTCATATTTGTAGATATTAATATGGAGATTTTAGTAGCAATACCGTCTAGGGAATTACTGACACCAATTATTTTATTAATGTGAGCAATACCTACTGCGTTTCGGTTTTGAAGGGTAAGGGTGCTGGTGGAATTACAGGCACATGGGACTTCTCAACATATGTCTCAGGGTGCAGTGGCAGTGCCCCTCAGATCTTTGCGATTTAAAGCTCCGACCGACTCTGCAACTGCTATGGACAGGCGTGTAGCTTACCATCAGGGCGTGACTTGTTTGTCCCGTCATTTGATATTATAAAAAAAAACCTTGAAAAACTCACGCTGAGCTGTGTCACTCAGTGTTGACATTACGACTAGGCGGCAGAGATAGGTTAGGTGGCAGTACTACCCTGGACGAACTCTTTCACAAAGAGCTCTATTGCTGCTTTGAAATGGTTTATAATGGTAATACATATAGGTAATAATAATTATTGAGAAAAATACATTATTTCCACTTAAAAAACTAAAAAGAAGCTGACAATAGAGCCGTGTTGCGAAATTGTCATGAACCGTTTTATATTTGTTAACGATATGAACACCGACTCTGTCTGACCGAGAGAAACTTTGTAATTCTTGACGAATAGATATTTGTTCGCAGGACTCTTACCATGTATCTATTTCTATACACGATGCTATTGACTGGCGGAGGTGCTCTGGCACACTTCAGAGGCTACACTACGCGCAACCTCTTCGTCCGCGACGAGCCTGTCAATCAAGTCGAAGAGTAATTATTCTTTCATTGCATGACTTTGGAGTTCCTTAAGTATTCGATTGTACAGTGGTGTGGTAATATAGACCACCAGTGCGGGGTCGCAACGTGTAGGTACATAATTAACTTGAGTCTAAACGTACTGAGTCTCTTTTGCCCGCTACCACAACGAATTTTCTATTCGAAATCTTAAATAAATTTAAGTCCGAAGTTTAATAATTGTTATAATCTATTATTGTTATATTTTCATAGAATTAATTTTGTGGAGTGTCCTGTATGCAACAATACGTCGCTCTGGCCACCGCTTATCGAAAACTGTGAAGTCAACCTGAACGGCAAGAGATACAAGCAATGCAAATTCGGAACCTATAAAAATAGGGTTTGTGGCAATCGCAACGACTGCAAAAGGGTAAGAAGAGAACAAACAACCCTTTTGTAATGTCCTGGGTGTCAGTAACGGAGTATTCACTGGGCAGAATTCTCCAATCCCAGCTCTCGCTCCTGGGTGCCGGATGCTAATTGATCTTAAGCCTTATGGCTCAGCATTATTGCTGAAGATAATCGATATGAAATTATGCAAATGGCCGGAACGTTATCTATAATATTATTATATACCATATTGAATGACTATACATAATGAACCACCATACATGATTTAACTGCCTCCATGGCCGAACGGTTATCATGCCGGACTGACATGCAGAGGTCCCAGGTTCGATTCCAGGGCCGGGAGAAATATTTGTATGCCCTACATTTGTTTCTCTCGTGAGTTTGGGTGTAATTTGTAGTTATCTATGTGTGTGTCCATGGCACCCGCGACACAGCGTTTCCTTAGTGCGGGGCTATGTTGAGTCTGTGTGTTATTATTATTACTTATACCAAATCGAAATCAGAATCTTTCATGTCTACTTTTTTGTCATACCTACCTACTCTTCGCAATTTTCGGATTCGACTGTATTTTTTTTGTATGTATGTTACGCGATTCATCCGGTTTGTGAACCGATTTTGACGATTCTTTTTTATTGGAAAGAGGGTACCTATAGGTTCAAGAGCACGTCAAGCTTGACACTTAAGACTGAAATCCAAGTCTATGCCGCTTACGATAAGAACGGTCCATACTAGGTGCAAAGTACCTCAGTATTGGTCATATTGCAATTTGAAGAAAATATTTCACCTATAATCAAAAAAATAAAGGTTTCGGAAAGTGCGTGAATTCGGTTTCGCGCACTTTCCGATAACAGATTTCAATAGCGTTAATACCCTTTTTCCAGCGTAACCTTGGTTGGTTAGTTAGTTAGTCGGTTCTAGTCGTGAAATTTTAAAAGTAGTCGCTCCTTTGTGCAGAAGATAATGGATATTCAACAATATTCATTGATACGTACATTTACGTACAAAAATCGTAACGATAAATGTGATCTAAAAAAAATTACTATCGTTTAGGAAATCTCTCGATAGTATTTTCTCGATAGTTCTTATCTTATCTCGCAAAACAAAAATCATACGTGTGGCGCACTATAAGTTTCCGGAATAAATAAGAAAAAAATATTATAAATGGTCAATAATGAATTTATTGTTTCTCAAAATATTCTCCGTTAGCGTCAATGTACTTTTTCATGCGAATGAACCAATTTTAAAAGCATTTATGCCACTCCTCCGTGACAATCTCTGAAACGTATTTATCATACTCTTCGCCAGCCTCTTCAGGTAATGAAAATCGTTGACCGCGTAACTGGTTTTTAATTTTTGGAAATAAATAAAAGTCACAAGGTGCCAGGTCGGGACTGTACGCGGGATGGCTCATAAGGTCAACGTTGTTCTCCTTCAAAAATTCATTTGTTTGTCTGGCCGTGTGAGAACTGGCATTATCGTGGTGCAAGATGATACGGCGTTTACGGTTATTTTTACAGAGTTTGTCAATAACTTCCGGCAAACAAATGATCGTGTACTACCAATCACAATTCACGGTATAACGTTTCTCCAAAGCAACAGTAGCCACGTGTCCAGTTTTATTAAAAAAAGAAGCAATCATCCGCTTAGAGGCACTTTGCACGCGCGCCACTTTGGTTGGTTTCGGCTCACCTCGAAAGACCCATACGCTCGATTGCTGCTTTGTTTTGGGATCGTAACTATAAATCCATGTTTCGTCACCTGTTACTATGTCCCACACCAAGTTTGACGCCCCTTCGTTGAATCTAGTAAGCATGGCATTGCACCAAGTGACGCGATCCGTTTTTTGAGCCTCAGTCACATTGTGTGAGATCCACCGAGACCACAGCTTTTTCACACCCAAATGTTTGTGTAGTATTGATTGTATTTGACTCATGCCTATGCCTAAAGATGCCCGAACCTCATGGTATGTCACATGCTTGTCTATTTTGAACATTCGGAGCACAGCATCGATGTTTTTGTTGTTCACAGCAGTGGACAGGCGATCATCACAAAATTCGTCACTGAGATTCACACGACCGCGTTTGAATTCTGCAAACCAGCTATAAATAGTCGTCTTGCATGGTGCTTCATCGCCAAAAGCAGTTTGAAGCCGAGGGAAGCTCCGCTGAGCTGTTAAATTACACTTAAAGCCGTAGAAAATCATACCACGAAAATTTTCACGAGTTAAATCCATGGTGATGTAGACAACCAATTTCTGAAATGACGCCACAATGTAAAAACAAGTGACAGTTCGATGAAACAAACTGTTTTCTACAGCCTAAGAGTTCCATTTTCAACAGTTGTAATTACTTTTTAAATATTGTTTATGTAAGTGGCCAGGTCCGGAAACTTATAGTGCGCGCTATGTATAATCACATATAATAGGCTCTCACTGTTTTATACACCCGCTATTGAATAATAAAAATACATTTCTTTCTCTCAGGGTCCCGGCGACAAATGTTCAACATTTGATAATCGAGATATGTATGACCTGCGATGCGCGCCTGGCTACCACTGCGATGGACTTGAACACCGATGCATCGGTGGCAGCAATAATCCTAATCCTGTAAATCGTTACTATCTTAGCCCATCTTCATTTAGTGGCAGTGACTATACTCGTTCAACTGACCTTTATAACTCTAGAGAGAAGCGATCTGCACCGTATTCTTTTTTTGCACCTCATTAAAATATATGACGATCGCTATGAATTTCAAAAATAAAATACCCAACACAAGCGTAAATTTATGAACAAATTCGTATTTATTATTTAGTAACATAGGTCCCTATTTATTCAAGAGTAAGAAATCTTGCTCATAGTTTTTTAATCATAAATAGTTATGCCATACATTTATTATGAAATCCAAAGTACGCACAACAAATTATGTACGTACATGACATTACATATATTTTATTAAAAATGTTTGGTAAGGCTGGTATCAATCATTTTCGTTCGAAAACTCGTTAGGCACTTTACCTCAGATCTAGGTAATAATTAAATTTTCATGACGGCTTTACACACTTGTCAACCCCGGGCAAGCGCGCGCAAGCACAAACGTGTGGTGATGGTGCGTTTGGATTGGCTTGCGTGAGCCTGCATATTGTGTTTGTCGCCGATCCGTTCAAATTCGATTTTTGTGTACAAATCAAAGAAAGCACCAATTACTATGTATCCACACGTTTGTGCAAGCTAGTAGATATTGTTTGAGAAGTGTCGACAAATAGACGTATCTTTTTTGCTACGTTGGATTGATGGGTAGGTATACCGTGTAATATTAAAAAAAATTACGCGGTGTCTTTATAGTAATGGCTATATGGTTTTAAACTATTGCCTTTTCCATAGCGGAAATAATTTTATAACAACTATTATAATGTAGGAGTGATAGCTTTCCGTGGTTATAAATTTGGGAAATGGGTGATTGGTCAAACGAAAGTATTTTATTCTTTCTTAAGTGCTACCAAGCAGAACTCTGCATTTGGAATCCGAAGCATATGGATCATAAACACAAAAAAGTAGCAAATGCTCGTTTCCTTTCATCTTGCTTCTTTTTGTAATAAAAGTAGGTCAAGCCGAACGTAATAGCAGACACAAATTCGACGTCCACCATGTTTCCTTCTCTGAAGCGTTCCGTGTCTGGCGAGCGTGTGAGTGTCGACGTTTGTCTCGTGGACGTTTGGGGCTTGCGGCAAATGGCAAGCGTGTGGAGCCGGCATCAAAATAAGTAAATTGTACCTAATAGATAGGTACACTCATTTTCTCTATGATCAGGATCTCAATCATATATGCATTGATGATGCATTGAAACATTTTATTTTACTACGCTGATCTCAATTATTTATCTTAATAAATAAAGGTTAATTAATGAAAACATTAAATGAAATATTAACACGTTTTAAAAGTTGTCTTATTTAGGAGTAACAAAAACTACCCTTTTCATATTCATAAATAAACAAATTACGTGTATTTCTAATTAAGTAGGTAAGTTCCATTCTATCTTTAATTTTACTGAGTCAATCAAGTTTCACCAGGCGTTTTAGCTTTCTTACGGCCACACAGTCGGAATTCCATTTCGGAATATTGATTCGAGATTCCGTATAATTATACGCCACACACATACGTTTATTTTCGTTCGGAATAACTATAATATATATATAAACTTAGCTGAGAGACGCGAGCTTGTGAGAATATAATGTTCTGTAGACGCGAGGTATTGAGTCTATATGTTCTCGCAGCGAAAATGGAATTTGACGATGATTGTTTGCATTCGCATTGTCGCCGTATTTATTGCTGACAAAAGTAAAAAAAGTTATGAAAATGTGCTTAATATTCCCTGTCTGTTGAGTCATTGCCGTAGAATAGGTGCAAACATTCTTACCACTACCTCACCTCATTTGAAGTAGTAGGTACATTGTACTAGAAGTGTGTCGATCGTAATCGATCGATCAAAATGATTGGAACAGCACCCGTGACCCGATAATTCGGTTACTAGCTTCTAAATAACCTGATCATTTTAGAGTTTCATGGGTCATGCGCGCAATATTCGACTTTATCACTGTAATTTAGAGACTATTCAACAATTCGCAATATTATTGTTGTCTCGTTCACTCTCACGTTAAGTCCGCACTCACGACCCGGTTTGCCTTCTCACTCTTCGTTTGGGTTGAACATTTGTTCGAAAGAATCTGCGTTCGATCGAACCAAAAAGTCAAGCGATCGGTCAACGACTCAATGAGTCAACGGGTTGACGGATCAATGCTGCCATCAGAACGAAAAAACGCACAACTGCTGTGTAAAGTACGCATCGTTGTGCCTTTTTTCGTTACTAGGGCAGAATGATTCTATCAATCATTCGTCCTAATTGCTCCGTGGCGTAGTGTCCATTACATGGTAATTTTGTAAGTTTAATCTGTTTTTCGGTATGTTGTGTTTATTTATGAGGGCACTAGCTAATATGAATAATGAATTAATAAATAATAAATTAGTAATTTTGAATGCTCACAAGATTTTTGTGATATATTTTTGTTTTGTAGGTGTTACTCTGCCCTCAGAATGAAAAAAAGGCACAACTGTACAGCAGTACGCATAGTTGTAACTTTTTTCATTGGGAATGCAATACTTTTCCTAGAAAGAAATTTTAGGGTCGTATTCTAGAACTCTACTCAATGCTCAAGTTAGGATTTGAGTATGGTTTAAAGCACTCGAAATCATACTCAAGTCCCTGCCATTAGAGTCGTATTTCCAGTGATTGTGTTTCCAGTGCAATCCTGACTTGAGCATTGAATAGAGTTCTAGAATACGACCCTTAATGTCCTAAGTGCGGTTTATCAATGATGCATTTAACTTTATACACATTACCCATCAGCAGGAAAGAATAAAAATGCTAATTGTATAACTTAACACTTTTAAACGCCATATTATTATGGAAGTATCGAGAGCGACTGGTGACCCGCTAAAAGATCGAACACATCGAATCATTTGGGTCATGATCGATCCGGGTTATCAAAAATGATTGGCCGATACAGGTCTACGTTGTACCGCCTGTTTTTCAAATGAGGTTACTCCTTCAAACTCATTTTAATTTCATATCCTACCCACATTGACTATTTACTACTCTGTATTCTACAAAATGGAAGACTTGCATTCGGAACGAATATTTTCCGTGCGGAATTCTGCATAAGCCACTATACGGAATTTCGAACGGAATACTAACGGCTCGGATTATGTTTTGTAATCTGAGACTAACGGTATGTGTGTGATAAGCGGATAACTCTGTGATTTGTATGGATTTGCTGCCTTCGAAATTCCGAAACTAAATTCCGACTGTATGTGGCCGGCCTTACTCTTGTCCATAGACAAAGTTAGCTGCAGTAAAAGTTCATTGATTGCTCAACAGGGCGCGACTTGCGCGTGAGCGACATGAAGCGCGAGATACTACTATTCTTGCATAGAAATCCCGCGCTTTATGTCGCACTGGCGCAAGTCGTGCTAGCCCTACTAGTTGTATTGAACTTGGTCATAGAACGCCAAATGTTATTACATTAAATAATTAAGCCATCACGGCGTACACGTACTCTCTAGCGTGTTGCCGTTTAGCATCTTAATCTTAGTCGCTAGATCTTGGGAATTTTACGAATTGTTTTTAAGCGAGAAATAAATATTTAGCTATATTAGCGTCTTTTTGACCTGTAGGCTTTTTTCGGAAATAATCATGGCCTGTAAATCAAAATGGTAATAAAAGGAACGAGAAATCCCTGTCATAAATAAATAAATACTGTTAGAAAGTACGCTCCATAGCAGCTCCATAAACGTATTATTACACGTGTGTTGTACGCTCATAATATCACGACAAACGACAAAACAAAATTATATTATACACTATGTTGAATTTACCACCTATTTTTTACCTTTAATACCTATTGCTGCAATATGGTCATAATTTGATGAGAATGAAAGAGAAATAAATATTAAAGTTGAAATAATAAGTAATAGGTATAAAACTTTTATATTAAATGAAAATGTGTTTGACTTTTAACTGCCATGTTTTTTTTCTATTCCTAGCTCTTTGCGGACAGCGTAGAAGCCGTTCGAATGACAAGATAGTTATTTCAACTTTATCTCAAACAAGAAAACGTTTACAAATGTCAATGAATTTAGAAAATGGACAGAAACTAAAAAAAATGGAAGAAAGGTTGTTCGTTATTGATAGGCAACACAAAATTGACAACATTTTTCAGAAAAACAAATATTTTTCCGAATATTTTTTTCTACATTTTTCCACATTTCACAATTGACACCAGTCAAAAGTAGAAAATACTGAAAGAAAACCTGAAAACGAAGAAGCCATTATAAAGATTTTTTCTTAGATTCGCTTTATGCGCTCTTCTTTTTCTCTAATTTGCTTTTAGCTATACAATTTTATTTTATAGTTCTCGGTAATTAAAACTTCAAAATATGTTTTCTAAACGAAGAACACAATATGAGCCCTCAAATCACATTTTTCCAATATTTTTAAATTTTCCCAATTTTTCAGAAATTTTTCCGGAAAAACTTCCACTAATAATAAGTAATAATAATAATGAAACCACTGTTTGAAATTTTTCAGAAAATTACCCAACTAAATGGCTTAAACACTAAGCGCGAAAAGTTTATAAAAAACAGTTTTGGGGGAATACCAAATATAATTTTTTTTCTATCTCTATCCGCAAACGAGAAATTAACTTTTATTTACTATCGTCGCATTGTTATCGCTTTATCTCTGGTTGCTATCTTTAACTTTATTGTAGGACATATTGCATCTATAAAGCGATTCTTGTCATACTTGTTTTGATTTGATTTTGCCATTTGTGATAGAGAGAGAGACCAAAGAGCACATTTTAACTTAACGAAACTGACACATTGTCACATTGGTCCGTTTGAAATTAAAACATTGAGTTTTCACTGCAGTATTTGAAACTTTTTTTGCAACAGTGAACATACTAACAGAAGCGGAGTATATTAAAATAGAGGTAAGATTTCTATTGTAAAATTATTTGCCTTTATACTTATTTGTAAGTCAATGCTCTATACAGATAAAATTACACTTAATAAATACACAATACATGCCTACGTTTTTTGTCTAAAAACTCGTCGATGGTGCTTTTATTTTAATATAGCCGTACAATAGATAAGTTATAGGATTAATGTATGTATATAGTTATTGTTAGATTATTCCATGGAATAAGTTTTTAAGGTTATGGTGAAATATCCACCAAAATAGGTGCGTAAATAATAAATGAACGGTAAAGAGTGAGTTACATTCTTGGAGGATAGAAAAAAATAATATAATTCCGTTGTCAGACACGCTACGTAAAAATACATTTTCTGTGTGTATTCTCTGCATTACTTGTATACAGTTAAGTAATTAATTACCACTTTGACCTAAACCTTGTATTATTCAGAATTTACGTAATATTAGTATGATAGTGTAAACCGTCACAAGTGATTAGCCTCACAAATACTAGGAAAAATCTCACCTATAAAGTTGCATTAACATACACCAAGCAATTTTTTTATGTTAGTGGGTATTCTTGGAAAAACCTCTTTGGATACACCTGATGAAAGTAGTAATCCCATTCCCTTGTATTACCATTTACAATATTTAATAATAATACTTAATTTTTTATAATATAATAATATCATTTATTATTTCCCAACAAGTACAAAATATAAGTAGGTACCTACATGATTGGAAATAGTGCTTAGACATGGGAGACAGGAACCCAAACTAGGTAAGCCCTGTGCTATGGCACTAATTATAATTGTATAATTTTATTATGCTCCTAAAGGTATTCAGGGGCATAATAAGATTCAATTGTTCTTTGCCCACAGTTGCGCTCAGAGGTGGCTCGACATATGGAGCGCTGGTGCAGTGAACTCCTACCCCTATCCAAACCACTAAAATAAATTTATTAATTATGCTTTCATATTATACTATTAGCTGCAGTATTTTTATTTATTAATGAACGACAAACCTATAATTAGAGTTTTATCTTTCTCTTTAATATAGTATAGCATACCGACTCTTGAGTGTAGTGCTTCGCGATGCGCTCCTATGAACCGAAATTGTTTACAAAGTTCAATATTGAATTCAATGATTGCGAAATAGAAATTTCTTAATAGCACGACATATGAAACATAAGATTAGCATGAGACAATAAACAAGATTTGAGCGGTACTCCGCTTAAATAAACACAGTGTTTTTTTCACGCAAATTTTGTTGTATTGTAAAATTTATTATTATTCAATTGTTGTTAAGAAGTGTAGTGTTGTTTAGTGGCATTGTTTAAAACTGTAACATGAGTTTCATTTTTTATTTAAAATATGTATAGGTAAGTGAATGCCGACTGAAATCTCCCACAAGCCGCCTCTGGTTGCGCTAATCTCTTTACAATAGATAAAGGTAATTTGGTCTCTGCTTTAATGTGACCTTTCCACATGCAAAATAAATGTCGAGTTGCGGACACCAGCCCATTGCAACATACCATATAATATGACTTCATTATCATACCTATACACTATGTTATACTTTCTTCTGTGCTGTGTTTTTTTATTTTGCTATAAAATGCTTAAGATGTAACTTGGCACTGTTTATAATATGCCCGCAAACGGTTGATGCCCTTACTTGACATTATATACACTATACATTCTTCTGTGACATTATTAGCTGTATTTTTTCAACCATATGTTAAACAGAATGAGGTGCAGACACTGTTATAATGTACCCACATTTTTTTTTCTGATTCTTTTTCACTGCAATTAAGTTGTCCTCAGTAGAACACCCCAAAAAAAAAGTACAGTTACCCCCCTAACCGATTATTTGGTTCTGAGTAGATCAGTGCGAAAAAAGGTGTTACAAACTTAACCTTTGACCTGTGGCTGTGAAGCGTAAAATGTATTTCGAAATTACTTCCTTATTGCATTATTAGTGAATGATGTTTTAAGAAACTGTTTTAAGCCAATTTGATCTTTAATCACACACAAATACAAATTTCAACCAAAAACCTGGAATTCCTTTATACTTTTCAGTTGCATGCGAAAGAAGGCTCTCAGAATCAAAAGGTCGGCTAGGGGTCATATATCTTAGGGCATTACTATACACTTAAGAAGTACACTATGCAAGAGAAATGATAAATAATTTTACTAAACTCAGATACTTAATATATAAATTAGTGACCCAGAAAAATTATCCACTGTAATTATAATACTTCAGCAATACATACATTTTTATGCCACTACCATGTCTTTTACTTTACAGATAAAATGCGAGATAATTACTGCAGAGTGTGTGGAGTTTTTGATGAATACTTTGACGAAAACTCGGGTATACAGCATAATGCAACAGCCAAACATCAATATAATCTTATTCTGTACCATTATAACCTAAACAAGTAAGTACAAAATTTTATAAAATAATGTACAAAAATATAATTGACACTAATTTATACATGCATTACATCCACTTGTCATCATTTAAGACAAATTTTAGTGAATGCAATTTTTAAATATATGTATTTTTATTATTACTATGAAACAAAATGTTATCAGAAAGTACATTTAATATTAGTAAAGAACATAAAGAAGTCACAGCTTGTTGTTCAATGATATCCTTAATTCACACAGTGTAAGTTGTCTGTGGTGAGAGACCTGGTATCCTATATTACCAGCTTATGCTTAGTTTAGGTACCAGTCTTTTGCAAACATAATATAAACACTATTTTTGTCTATCTTTCTTTTGTTCATGTTCAGTTGTTATGTTTGTGGAGAGAAATAAATACATTATTATTATTTTTATTATTAATTCACACAGTTGATAATATTATAGCTGTTTTGTAGTTAATTGTTAATCCATATACTTCATATTAGTATGAAGAGGGTGGTACGAATTTTATTAAGTTAATTTTAAGGCCTGCAGGCTCAAGCATATAAGTAAAAAAGCTTTATTTTTTTAATATACCAACAAACAAACAACAGAACAGAATGTGTTGATTTTTTACTTATATACTTTAGTCTGCTCACCCATAATTGTAGGGTAGGTAATATTGATGATTAGGGCTTCCAAAATTATTGGCAGACTTAGTGCCAAGTGGGGTCTCACTATTTTAATATTTGTTTAAGGGTCACCTGCCATTCACAGAAAAAATATTTAGGAATAAGACTTTATTATCACCCATTATATAATATAATATGAAATAAATATAAAAAATCACTGATTCAGATGACTAGATCCACAATTTATTAGTATTTTATTTATGCCTATAAATAAAATACTAATAAATTGTGTATACTAACCTATGTATACTAACATACATAATTTAAACAGGACAAAGTATTATGAATTAAATGTTGCATTATTGAGCACTCACTTGTTACAGCTCTCATCATAATATTTTTTTACAGACGAACTTTTACAAGCAATAGAGATGGGATCTTTGTTTACGCTATTGTAGAAAGTAAACCTCTTGAAGACTGTCCAGGTCAAGTCAAAGAGAAAACTGACCATGCTAAAATCAGGATTTATGTAAGTACTTATTCAATTAATTCTGTGCTAGTATTTTCGATTAAAACTAGAATCTACCCTGCAGATAGAAGTTAGCATTTAGGAAATTATATCAAGGAGACAATTAGCACTGTCTTGTTGTATATTACAGCACTCACTAGTCCGCCTATATTGATTTAGACAATTTCATTGTGATACTTTTCTATATCAAACTGGTAAAAATGGAACTTACAATTGAGGTATCTTATGCATTTTGATAGCCTTATTCATTCATATAACTGTGACAGGCCGCTGAATTGTTTTATTTTACATGTATTCCAAGATAAAACACAAAAAACTAAAATTGGTTCCTTCCTTAGGTATCCAATAATTAGTAAATTGCTGATAAGAGTTTAATCAGTTTTATTTCTACCATTTCTTTAGCTTGACAACTCTATATTTACGAAATAATGGGAAGGTTATTATTCATTATTTATAGTTTCTTTTATTTATTTATTCATGATTAAGCAACACACGCATTAAACGAATAAGATATGAACTCAACACCTGCGTCAACAATCACGAATTACCCAATAAATGAAATAAAATATCTGTGAATTTACTCTTCAGCGCATCAACATTAGTACATAGTTTTTATATATGAATTAATATATCAATGTCCAGATCATGATTGCTCAGCACCCTATACTCTTGCTTGTGTTTGATTAATAATACTTTAATTCTTTTTTGATGATTTTATTATCTTTATTAATCATTTGATAAAATAAGATTAGGCGACTATCCATTTCTTTTGTCCGTTAAACCAAAGTTGGACACTGACCTTTATTAAAAAACAAAACTGATTAAGAAATTCATTGCATGTTTTGAGTATTGGTTTGTGAATTGTGATGTTGTGATGCCCGAACTCCACTTGCACTTGGCCGATTTTTTATTTACAGACGCATTGAAAATAGTGGAAGCATTGTAAACATTAACAAGCGTCGTTAGTCCCCTTATCTGAGAAGAGTTAGGCATAGCAATTCCTACAAGTTTTGTTTATAGTGACCTTCTTTTCCGACCCTCCCTATTTTCAGATAGGTACCGGAACTGTTGGCATGCTCACTTCCCGTTGTGCATTGCACAACTAACGGCTGCCACCGCTAAGCCGTTGACTCTTGGTGGCGGAGCTGTGGGCACGCTCTTCTACCGATGTCAAAGTGTCTTCCAGTTCCCATAGACCTACGCGGCTTGGAGGGACCGGACGATATCTAGCTCTTCGTTTAGCTCTCCGAGCTAGTACCGAAGATGTCGGTCGCAGCTACCTGTGACAATGTCCAGACATATGTAGCTTCCAACTTAAAGAGCAACTGACGTGTCCCGCGCATCTCTTCGCCTTAGGCCCTCGTCTAGACCGTTATTAAGACGCGTTAGCTGTGCGCGGTATGAATGCCCGGGTACATACTACTGGGGTAGACGAACGTGTCCATCCCTACAGCTAACCACAAATCCCATGGGTTTCCATACCCATGTCCAGATTCGCCTGAGATGCCCGTGAAGGCGTATCACTGGCAGAGAGCTTGGCCCGGACGCCCGCTGTACCCTGGTCTTGTCGTCAAGCCCGTAGTCTCTCCGGAAATCACTATCAATCGGGTAAATAAATAGGGACAAGTGCAACTCGTGACAGGGTTTGATAAAATAGCGTGAAGTAGCAGTAGAGTGAAATAGTTCGTCTAGAGACGTACTGCCACCTTACCTATTTCTGCCGCCAAGCAGTAATGTGAGCATTACATTACATGTGGTTATGAAGAGTAAGTGAAATTATATAATATAGGTGACAGGTGCAGTGGCAGTGCCCCTCAGATCTTTGTGATTTATAGCACTAAGTGGCACTGCAACACGGACAGGCGCGTCGCTTTCCACCAGGCGCAAGACTTTTTCGTCCCATCATTTGGTAACAAAAAAAAGACCCCCAATCTCACTTGTCAGCCATTAGATGTACAAAGTACTGATGAAGAATACTGTATTTTTTTTTAACCCAAATTCATCCCACTGCTGAGAATAAGTCCCCTACGAGTATTGAAGAATAGTGGTAAAGCGCATTCGTTTGTAAGGAATGTGACCAAGAGATAATAAATGAATAACGTGATCTGCCGGGAAACACACAAGTTATACCGACGGCGATGAGGGAACACAGACGGCTCGTTTGACGTGTACCACCGCTAAGCCTGAAATTGCTTACAATACAAATTGCATCCTTTGAAATCCGCACAGTATGCACCATACGTTAATTTTTTTTTTGTAATTTACCATTTGTTTAATTTGCAGGTCAAGCCTAGTCAAGAAGTGAAATTTTCTTTTGAAGTGAAAAGTGACATTCGCAAGGAAGACATATATGTTGTCGGCATACAACTGTCCCATCCCCAACCACAGTTTATTATGAACGATCATAAATACAGATTTGGCGACGACCCACATGTGTTGCAGACAAGTGAATTCTTTTAGTTTTTATTCACTTATTTTTTTATATAGTGTTATTTATTTTTTTATATATATGAATATAGTTTTACAATTTTTTAACACTAACTTAGAAGTCCGTGGTATGTAATATTTTGAATACCTAGGGAACACTGGAACACTCATTTTAGAAGCTCGTATATTTCGCGGAATATTCACCTAAATGAGAAAATCGCTTTAGCATCGTCATTGCATTTTTAGAGATCTACCAATGACACGTGCAATAAATTACGCAAAAATAATTTTATTGTTCATTTCCATAATGGCAAACTATACAATCGATATATACAATTCAATAATTTCCTTCGCTGTACACATAGTACGCATAATGTGATTGTTCACATAGAACATGTACCTGTAATCTATTAATCAAATAAATGCAAATAACGGAATTAGACGTATTTTACGGACATGACGAAATTATATGAAAAAGATTTCCTTTCACTTTATCGAAATATATAGTAATTATAAATAACTTACTTTAAATTTATGTGTGAATGATATTGAAATTCGTTGAACTTATTTTTGTAACTGTGTCGTAAGTTCACGAGTACGTAGTCCAACGTATCAAATTTAAAAGATTTTAGCAGTTGGATAAACTGTGTAACCCCTTTGTACAGGATCAGAAGCACGTCTATGATTTTTTATTTCAGAATCTACTCTACAAGGCGATGTGTACGTGACATTCAAGGCGGGTGGTATAGGACAATATGAAATGCCTATCGTGTTCACGTTCCACCGGCCTTCCGATAGCAAAAACATCATCATTATCAGAGAAATGGTAAGTTTGCACTTAGTAAGTTTTCATACAGGTTATAAAAGTAAGGTCCAACCAAAAGATGATCGTACTCACGATGTTCTTTCTATAAGAATCAAATAAATATAAATAGGCAAGTTACTCCCCCACAACAATGGAATATTCAAGTTTACCCGTACTTTCCGATCTTTAGAGATTGCCAAGAAAGCATTATTCGCTTGTGATATTGTAGTGTACATGGTAATGAAAATATTTCAATTCTTCAGGTAATCAACGTAGAAGAAAACCCTACCACTGAAAAATTCGTCAAAAGTCCGTTTACTAATGAAGAAATAGGAAAGGCGTTGAATTTTGTGCCTTCCACGGATCACATGTAAGTAGCATTCATGATTTACATACGTTTTTACATAACAATTCGTGTCCCATAAAATCCAGTTCGTGATCTTCTGTTGAAAACGCCAATATCATACTCATTTTGACATGCTCTTCTGTCAAAATATTTCTCTACTTATTCTTTATTACTTTTAGTATAGAAGCATGAAAGAGAAAGCAAGATAGTATCATTATATTTTTAAATAATATCAAGTGACGGGACGAACAAGTCGTGCGCCTGATGGTAAGCTACACGCTTGTCCATAACAGTTGCAATGCCACTCAGAGCTTTAAATCGCAAAGATCTGAGGAGCACTGCCATTGCGCCCGTCACCCTGAGACATAAGTTGACACGTCTCATGTGCCTGTAATTTCACCAGTACCCTTGCCCTTCAAAACGGAACATAGTAATGCTGATGTTACTGCTTGACGGTTTGAAATAGGTAAGGTGGCAGTACTACCCAAGACGAACTCTTTCACAAGGAGCTCGACTGCTACTAAACGTACGTATCATATCACGTATGAGTCTGGTTGAAGTGCGTTTTGAATTGTTTGTTGAAATAAGTTCCTGACTCGCGCCACCCGTGGAACATATATATATGATTGGATCTGTATATTTATGGTTAATCGAAAAATGTACATCTTAGATTTTCATTGCCACTTTAATTCATCTTGACTGGAAGAATATATTCTGCTCGTGGCTTATTATTAAAAAACGTAGTCTTGATCATTTTTAGTTTTTCGTTAACAGGAGCATGGCTTCTGATTATGAGACACTGCTAAGCTCTGGAAGTCTCTTTGCCATTGTTCATTACTTTGGTCTACGTTTGGAAGAAAAAAATTACAAACTTATTGCAGGTCTTATGAACGGTTTTTCCATTGTTCACTACTTTGGTCTACGTTTGGAAGAAAAAAAAATACAAACTAACTTATTGCAGGCCTTATGAACGGTTTTTCAAGATACCAAAATTATTGAAAACACTTCTGCCGGAAGGACTCGACGACGATGCCTTGGACTCGTTGAGGTGCTCCGAAGAAATGAGGGCACAACTCAGGGAAATCTTGATTTCCACTAGGTAGATATTTCTGTCTTGTCAAACTTAAAATCCAAAGTAACATTGTAAAGGCTGTCAAATTCAACCCTCGCCATTTAACTCAATTTTAAAGAGCTATATAATTTCATGTAGAAACAACATAAACATTTATGTCATAAATAGCCACAGGGACTAATAGGAACCGATCAATATTCTCAATATAAGAACTTACTATTTATTTATTTATTTATTTATTTATAAAGGTATACCAACAGCGTAAATATAGTTTTGTACAAAAAGTTTATGGTAAGAGGAATTGTTCTTATACATATGCCTATTACTGGTACACACAACTTTGTAGGATTTAATTTGTTCATAACTATAAATGGGTATACATGTTAATTGAACTTACTATAAATTATATAAAAAACAAAACATCCTTACTTTCTTTAAAACAAAACAAAAATAAACATTAAAAAACTTTAAACACATACAGATTAACGAATATGGTGTTACAAATTAAAATGCGGCTTTGAAGTACTGTCAGCTATTTTTGCTTTAAACATTTTTAGGGGGTCGTTGAAAATATCCAGCTCTGGTTGTTCTGCAGACAAACGGTTGTAATGGGAAGACATTCTTGAAAGTGGATGATGGAAACCTAAATTAGTTCGGCATGGGGAAACATTAAAAAGTTTAGATAAACGAGATCTTGGATATTTGTATGGTACTGAGAGCTTTACGTTTTCAAGTATAGCAGAGCATGATATTTCACCATTTACTAATTTATGTAGAAAAGACAAGTCGGCTATAACGCGTCGATTTCGTAATGTAGACATTTTAAAAAATTCCATTCTTTGGTCATAAGGACGTCTATGCGATATGTTGGGTGAAATAAAAGCTATATGCCTTGTAAAGGCACGTTGAACGTTTTCTATGCGTTGAGACTAGTCGACACAACTCAAATTTCAAATAATTTCCTACTGTCAGGCTATTGACAGGGCAGCTAACCAACTTTTGCAATGTATGAAAAATTTCAATGATAGAGAACGAAAAGGATTTACAAGGACGAAGCGAAAGTGAGCAATGTTTTATTTTGCAGGTCTGTTATTGAAGAAGGTACAACAGAAGAGAATTATGTAATGTACTTCCATTACCTCCTCTGGTGGGAAGAAATCATAGCGCGGATTAATATTAGGGTTAGTATTTCTTACACACTAATCACTTCCCGTGATCGCAAGATAAATTTATAGTAAATTAATAAATACTATTAGCAAAGTTAAAAGCTGTCTCAGCAAATTAGTAGCTCGACCTTCCAAATTTTGTTGACCCGTTTTAAAAAAAAATAAAAATATAGTCTAGCCCTTAAACGCCATTGGTTGATAAGAACAAGCAGACTGCGAGTGACAACTACTGACTACCGTTGCTTGCACGCAAAAAGAACTCTTAAGGTGGCATGCGTCCACTTTGTGAAAGTTTGTCCAAGGAAGTACTGCCACCTTATTTTTGCCGCTATAATGTGGCCATTACTGCGTTCCGATTTTGGAGGATAATGGTGCTGGTGAAATTACACACACATAGGACTTGTCAACTTATGTCTCAGGGTGATGGGCGCAGCGGCGGTACCCCCAGATCTTTGTGATTTAAAGCTCTGAGTGTCACTGCAACAGTTATGGACAAACGTGTCGCTTACCACCAGTCGTATCTCGTAATTAGGTTCTGGTTTGATGGTATTGAAATTCTATATTACGTACTCAGTGTTGCTATTTAAAAACCGCTGTTTATGAGTGCCTGTCAAACGTTTGATAATAGCAGACCATTGTTTCTAGCTGGTCTGTCTCGTCTAATGCGGTTAACCAAATATAGTACAGCCAAATTCGACATTGAATTATTGTTAATTTTTTTTAATTGTTTTATAACGAAACGTTAGCAAAGTTGATGGCATGCCCAACAATGATGGCATAGAAAAACATTTTTTGTTAATGCTCATTATGGCATTATAACCTTAGGCTAGCTCCGCCCACGGGCCTGCTCGCGTAATTGGCAATTATTATAAAGTTTGCAAAGTGCGACACGTATTTGATACGTATATTTTTTTCTAAATTAGGTTACTTACTGTTAGGTAACTGATAAGTTAATTTCCGAATCTAAACTTGAATGACTACTCTAACTCTAATATTAAAATTGTAGTAACTGGCAAACTGTTTGAGGTTTAAAACCCTAAAAATCATAAATGTTTTTGTTTCTTGACATTTATTCTACACCGAATTTGATTAGAGTATAGTTTAGCACATATGATACTTTTATATTAAGAAAATGTACACGTACAAAAAAAGACGATCAGAAGAATAAGACAAACTGTAGGTACCGTGTTGCGGTTGGAAACCATGTCCGGACGTAGCCAAGAGAGCTAGTAGAGGATAAGCTAGATATCCTGCGATCCCTCCAGCCGCTTAGGTTATTAGGAACTGGAGAGATATCGTTTTTCGTCGTCGGGTAGTGAGCGTGCCTTACAGCTCCGCCACCAATGAGGAGATTTGGTAGTGGACTGAGAGTCGACGGCTTAGCGGTGGCAACCGCTAGTTGTGCAATGCGCAACGGGAAGTGAGCGTGCCTACAGCTGCGGTACCTGTCTGGAAAATAGGGAGGGTACTGGACGTGCACTAGGGCCTGCTGACCCGAGGCACTAACCTCTCGAAGAAACGGATGAAGTCAAGTGACAGAGGTCTGTGACAACCCTTTTACACTGCCTGATATGGGGTCAAAACCTTAACTCATAAGGTTCCTGTGCGCGCACAGGTTATAGTGCCCTTCTCGTATATTATAAGAGTCGGTAGGGAGGGTCACTATAATCAAAACGAATGTAGAAATATATGGGGCTGTACCGTGCGGCCACTGAAAACGTGTGTAATCCCGAAACCGCATCCGATTAATAATAATGGACAACAAAACATACTTTCTTTTTTATATATTGATTTCCATTTCAAATACCTCTGTTGTTTTATTTTAGAAATACAACATGGCTAAAGTCACGATTGAATGCGATGAAGAAGGAGAATACTTGTTAGAAGTGCCAGGTTTGGCGGAAAAGCGTCCTTCTTTACTACGTGGTAAGTAAGGTAAATGAATAGTGAAGTAAAACTTGATGACTCTGATTGGTTTGTACCAAGGGAGTGGGTATCCAAGTTGGGAAAACTCTTGCTTTCTATGTAGGATGTAAGTAGATAGTCCTTGTGTCGATTACCACCAGGCGGCCTGCTCCATTGAGGTGTTGGTTTGTTGGATACGAATACGGGACACGACATTGATAGCGGTAGCATTTTGTTAACTTTGTAGCAACTACTTGTTCGTTCCGTCTCTAAATATTATAAAAATAAACTGATTTTATAATTGTCAAGGTATATTTATCAAGATAATTATCACATCGAACCCAGGTTAAAACCCTGAAATCAAGGCGCTAGAATTGAATTCTTACATCAATTTGTAAGGTATATATTTTAAAATAAAAATATTATATGTTAATTTAATGTTTCTGTTTTTAGGTGACAGAGTTTTTTTAATACCCATCTTAGAAGACTCTGCCGAATCCAGAAGACATCCAGAGATTTTATTTGAAAGCATCATCGGCAGTATCAAAGAGGATTCTATAAAATTGATGAAATTGGATGATACGTAAGTTATACATTTATCTACCCATAATTAAAAGAAAATTGTATAAAATTATAATCCTTACCGAAGCGCGGCAGTTTTTCTTACATTTTTCCTTATTATTTTTTTTTTCATTCTGCACATTTACAATTGAATATTTTTTCCATAACTAGTCACAGGTCGAAATTCCAAATTTCGGCTTCGAACGACCAGTACTAATATTTTTTATTCTAGTTTCAAATGTGTCTTTCATTACAGTTGAGAAACAGTCGATACAATTCCGTTCGTTCGGAACTTATGTAATCTGAAGTCCTGGACAAGTGGCAAACGTTCCCAAACTATTCCATTTCTATAATCGTTAACGATTAAATGTAAACGATAATGCATCGCATATCGATGCATTATCGTTTACGTTTAATCGTTACGTTTAAACGTAAACGATAATGCATCGATATGCGATGCCAAAAAAGGATCGCGCGCTTCAAAATAAATTGATCTGAGTTAGTGGAGATACGTAGTTTTTGTTCATCCCACGTGGGAAACTGGCAACATTGCATGTAAATCTATTTACAAAATTATCTATTACTATAGGTTTGAAGAATATTATACACCGGAGAGGTTATTCAACGTAAAGTTCCTTACATCTCGCATACCCTTGGAGCGTATGCATCATGCCGTCCAGAACGTCTTCACTGCAAAACAGGGCTGCAGAATCTTCCCCAAGCCTGTCAAGTATTTGCCTAAATTGCAACCTATAAAAAAGTAAGTTACATAGGACCAAGTCGTCCCACAGCTATGCGGCAAGTACTTTAAATATTAAAGATAGCAAATTTCATATAATGCAAATTTAGTTTATTAGTGAAAGTAATCAATACTGCGTTTATTATAAATCTTTAATAAATCGCTTGCCTAAACACGAGCCGAAAAAATTAGATAAAAAAGTCCGTATGTTTATGACAGCAATCTTTTTTTCATAATACCAAGTGACGGGACCATTAAGTCGTGCACCTGGTGGTAAGCTACACGCACGCTGCAGTGGTATTCAGAGCTTTAAATTGCAAAGATCTTATGGCCACTGCCACTGCGCCCGTCACCCTGAGCATAAGTTGACAATTCCCATGTGCCTGTAATTAGTAGCAGTAGAGCTCCTTGTGAAAGAGTTCGTCCAGGGAAGTACTGCCGCCAAGCAGTAATGTCAGCATTACTGTGTTCCGGTTTTGAAGTGTAAGAGTACTGGTGAAATTACAGGCGCATGAGACTTGTCAACTTATATCTCGTGGTGACAGGCACAGTGGCAGTGGCCGTCAAATTTTTGCGATTTAAAGTTCTGAGTGGCAATGCAACTGTTATGGATATTATAATATGGATAGTGTAGCTTACAATATACAAAAATTCACCGGCACCCTTACCCTTTTAAACCGGAACGCAGTAATGCTCACATTATTGCTTGGCGGCAGAAATAAATAAGGTGGCAATACTTCCCGAGACGGACTCTTTCACAAGTAGCTCTACTGCTACTAAAAAGTAAGCATCAATCGCATAGATGATTTTTTTATAACATGGTATTTTAAAATAAAGTAAGAATGAAATTTAACATTTAACATTAAATGTTTAAGTTAGAATTACCGTACTTCTAAAAATATCGATAGTTGTATAATAATAAGTATAATTTGGTTAAAAGAATTATCATATCGAGTTCTTGGGTTTTAGCGATTGTTACACATAGGAAATGAAACTATTTTTCCGGATTTAAATCGCGTATATTTGTTTTTTCAAACAAACCGACGTTTCGGGCCCTTTACACGTCTCATGGTCACGGTTGACTAAGATGGTATAGTCTTCAACCAGTTATGTCTAATATTGATGCAAACCACCCTATTTTTTTCACTATAGTTACAATAGTTATTAATTAAATACCTTATTTTTTATTTTACAAAGAAAACATTCCAATTTACGCTACATTAAGTTTTACAAATTATTTTATTGAATGAATTTATATTAAGTTCAATTTAATTAATAATAGAAATTAGAATAAACTAAAACATATTAATTAGTACTGCAGTCTTATGTCTGTTTGGGATTTTTCATTAGAGGAAATACTGGATCCCAAACTGGTGGTACGGAGAAATCATCTTCCCTGTTGAAATTAGGATGTTTTTTAATTCCAATGGCCTCTCGCAACACTCTGGGTAGATAACGGACTTCTTTTGCAAGGACCTGGGGTTTGTCAAACTTCATTGAATGTGTAGGTTTATCCATGACATGCTCGCAGACTGCAGACTTGTTTACGCGACGATGTTTGACATCAGCTATATGTTCTTTGACGCGGGTACAAAACTTCGCTTTGTTTATCCAATATAAGAGAGACCGCAATCACAGTCAAGCTTGTAAACTCCTGCATCCTGTAAGGGGATGTTACATATCACGGGTCTCAGGAACTGAGAAATCTTCCTCAGGGGCTTGAAATAGGTCTGTGTCTGTAACACCTCACACGTAAGGTAAGATGGCAGGTCTTCGCTCGACTGTTGTTGGTTTCACACGGGGCCTGCGGCATTGGCGTGGAAACTTCAACTTATTCGCATGTAGGACTTGCTTTATATGCTGAAGTTCCCCTGCCAGATGATTACTGTCACAGACACCATGTGCTCTCTGAAACAAAGATTTGCCCACAGTAGCTAACTGGCTAGGATTATGATGGGAATTACCATTGAGATACCTATCTGTATGGGTTTTCTTTCGAAATAGAGTATGGCCTAAGGTGTTATTAGGATTTCTTTTAATTAAAACATCTAAGAAAGCTAAAGTACCACATTCCTCTTGTTCCATAGTAAATTGGATCTTAGTACTAAAAGAATTAAGATGGTCCAAGAAAGAAGGTATGCTATCTTTAGGTAATATTGTGAAAGTATCATCAACATACCGTTTTAAAATCTTCGGCCTAGCTCCGGCTTCCATGAAAATATCGGCAACAACGGGAGATACTGGGGAGCCCATCGCTATACCATCAATTTGTAGGTAGAATTCATTATTCCACAATAGATAGCCTGATGTTAGGCAGTGTTCTAATAATTCTGCATATTCAATGAACATATTATGTTCCCTTAGCTTTCTACGTACAATTTCAATGCAGTCTTTTACTGGTAGGTTGGTAAACAGCGACTGAACATCAAAACTGACCATGGTGTCATCATCAGTTAACTGTAGATCTTTGATTCCACTGATGAAATGGTATGAATCCTTCACATGTGTAGAAGTGTGCCCTCTCAATGGTGACAGTACCTTTGCCATGTGTTGAGCCAGTTTGTAGGTTGATGTGTCAATCTGGCTAACTATGGGACGGAGTGAGGTGTCAGCCTTAAGTATTTTTGGAAACCCATACAGTTTTGGAGGTGTTACGCAGCAGGGTACAAACTCACTTACACCAAGTTTCAGCGTATCGGAGTGCTTAGATATTAACTTAGTTGTTGTTTTCAATATCTTGGTGGTAGGGTCTTTCTTCACCTTTTTATACGTGCTTTCATCCGGTAGTAAGTCATTTATTTTGCTGTTATAATCTGACGTATTCATGACCACAGTCGCGTTACCTTTTTCTGCACGGAGGATGACTAATTCAGGATCTTCGCGGAAGGTCTTCAGCGCGTTATATTCATCTCGAGTAAGATTCGGTCTGGGCTGTTTATTTGAACGCAATATTGACGAAACGTCTGGGCGTATTGCCTCCAAGTCTTCCTTTCTCATGTTGTTTTTAACTAGACAATCCTCAACGTTACAAATAATTTCTTCGTATGGAACACGACGAGGAGCCACTGTGTAATTCAAACCTTTTTGAACTGAAATAAACTGAATAAGCAGACTGATCTAATGTTTTGTTCGATAAGTTTATTACAGATTAAATTTGTGTTTGATCATTTGACACTGACGTTGACGTTTCTAATGAAAAATCCCAAACAGACAAGACTGCAGTACTAATTAATATGTTTTAGTTTATTCTAATTTCTATTATTAATTAATAATAAATTGAACTTGATAAAAATTCATTCAATAAAATAATTGGTAAAACTTAATGTAGCGTAAATTGGAATGTTTTCTTTGTAAAATTAAAAATAACGTATTTAATTAATAACTATTGTAACTATAGTGAAAAAAATAGGGTGGTTTGCATCAATATTAGATATAACTGGTTGAAGACTGTACCACCTCAGTCAACCGTGACCATGGGACCTGTAAAGGGCCCGAAACAACGGTTTGTTTGAAAAAACAAATATACGCGATTTAAATCCGGAAAAATAGATTCATTTCCTAAAAATTATCATTTTACATACAACTTTCATTATTTACTAATAAGTACCCTCTTAAGGAACTATTTCCTTATAAAATTTTCCTTATTATAAGTGCAATAAATAAATTCTATTACTTGTATGCCATTCGAACAAGGAGGCAAATTAATTTGATAATGGAATCTGAAATAAAACAAGCTTTTATTCTTTAGTTTTTAGTTTATGTTTCAGCTTTGTTAGTTTGAGTGACTGGTCACTAAGTTTAAGTGGTGGTGTCGCGAAAGATATCCTGACAGGCAAACGCTATTTCAGTACATTTAGAAAAGGACAGTGGGCAACTTAGATGGAAAGAGACGAGAGAGTTTATTGCACTCTTCGTGGCGAAAAAGTTTACGCTATGTCGCAAACAAAAATCGCCATAAGGCTCAGTTTAAATTGCGGCGGAACGCTAGCGAAGTTCGCCTCACTACGCGAGAAGGCGGGCGTAGTCGCGGGAATGCCTGAGGTTCGCGAGAATTCGCGTGACAGCGCCTTGAGGCCGTATTAGATTGTTCCTTTCTTATTTGGTTTCAAAAGCTGTTACTTTTTATTTGAAAATTAATCAGATTCATCTCTATTACAGATTTTACAATGAACTTATACGCGACAATGAGGAGCAGCGTTCAGCTGTAGAGCACATAGTGTCTAAAACTTCTGGCACAGCCCCGTATATTGTATTCGGACCCCCCGGTACTGGAAAAACTATGACAATTGTCGAAGCTATTATTCAGGTATTTTTTTATTTAAAAAAAATCCTATGCCCAACACGACCCGAGAAAGGCACGCTCATGATTGGTTGGAAGGATGATGATTGTTAGGCATCCTATGTCCCTAATTTGGTTAATTTTTGTAATGCTTTTACGATTTTATTGTTTGATTTTAACCCATAATTCAAGTTATGCGTGTTTGTTAGTCTTGTTTGCCAGTGGCTTGTTTATCTATATAATAGTCATTTCAAGAAAACACGCTGAGATAAGTTGTAAATGGATACAATCCAGTTATTAACATTTTTATTTGTTTAGTTTATTCTGATAAATTAAATTTGAAATGTAAAACTTTTCCAGATAGTAGTGAAGAATCCAAAACACCGCGTACTTGTGTGCACTGACTCTAACATGGCTGCGGATCACATTGCTCTAATGCTTGTCAGATACAACAAGATACTTAACATTAACAACTTCTTATTGAGAGCTAATTCGCAAAATCGTGAATGGTGAGCTTTTCTGTGATGTAGTTTTCCATAGTACAGTTATCGATTAAAAGAGTTTAACTTTATCGCAATCTGTGTGTGTCTTCTGACGATTTTCTATCTATCATTTTGTCGCTGTCTGTACAATAAATTATTTAACCTGAAGCGCTTATAAGGCATAGACTTTTGAATTCTACATATACCTACATGCACAATGTAAAATACATATAAGTAAATGCATTTCCTAATGTTTAGTACACTAGATTTGACTAAAGTGTTTTGAGATCTGTATTTTTGTTATAAATAAGCATTACTGACAGTTAAAAACAGTTCTCATCGCTTACACAATTAGTTTAAAAGGAACAATTTTTAACAACATTGTTAGATTGGTCATATTGGCAGAGAACAAAAAGTAACGAGAATGGACACTATCCGACCCTCCCTAGCTTTAGACACCGCACCGCGCCCCGCACACTGACGGTCACATTGACTGAACGGCAACAAGGCCGTCAGCGAGCTGTTTTCACTCTTAAATAAAAGCTTATGCCTGAGACTCATTCAGTTACTGTTTTCTTCATTTATTTAGTGCAAAGTAATATATAATACAGATTTATTATATCAATTTAATGAGACGCCATGAGTTCGTGAGCTAATAGACAAGGGATCTCGAATTTTAAATTTGTGTTGCCAATAATATATAATGTATATGAATATACATTATATATTATTATAATATAATATATATGAATATACCTAATTATTAACTAGGTAATGATGAACTATTTCAAATACCTTTTTTACCATATTTAAAAGTACCTGTCCAAAAGATAACATTTTAAGTGCTTTTAATATATTTTTTAAATAAATCTTCAATATTATTCTAGTTAGTGAATTAATGAAAAATACAATATTATATCGATATAAATTCGTAATGAACTTGTGTAATTATTAGGATTCTATTATGTCATTCAAGCACACATTTGCGCGTGTGCATAAAGCGCCTTGCTGTAGTATGTAGTAGTAGGCAAATAACTTTCGACCGTCGTATGAAGTGTCCGGGGTGTGATATCGCCTAAAAATGGCGTCACAAAATCAATGGTTATAACACTGGCATAATGATAACTGAGATTTTTTAGAGACGCAACAAATCCTTACAATTAATAATGTATAAAAAAAAAATAATCATGTGCCAAACAACCACACTAATTTCGTGGCTTCATACTACGGAATCCCCTGTACTATTTTGAAGCACTACCCAGAACACCCAGACGAAAACCAATTTAGAAAAGTTCATTTTTCATCACCAATTTGGAAATTGGTCCTACCGGGAATTGAGCCCGACATCCAGTACCCACAGTGTAAACCGTTGAACCACCAAAGTCGTTAAAAATAAAATAACGACAATTAAGAACAATGGCAAAATCATAGTTTAAAGCATTCGTTAGCGTCTTCAAATGTCTTAATTACGAGTTTGAATAAAATAAATTCATTAGGTACGTTTTCAAGTTATAATAGCGGCCTATCTAAGTCTGGAAATAAAATCATATTTAAAATTAACTCGAGACTAATTAGTATGTAACCCGACTGGTATCTACAACGATCCGTTTCTTAACGTTGAGCGACATCTAGCCGCCAAAAAAAGAATTTCAGTACCTACGTATGTAACAAGTTCCATAATTTCTTCTCCAAAATGCCACGCGAGAAAATGGTAAAACCGATAAAAGAGTTCCCAAAATCAGGGATAGATGGCACTTTTCACAAAATAAATAATTTGCATCGGAGGTTACCAGTGCAATGTTATTATTAACTCAGTTTTTTTTGTTATGGCTTAACTTCATGCCTTTTGACCATACCAGTATATAAAATAATTTCCTCTGAACTTTCTTCACGTCACAAACCCACGGCACTCGGCTTCTATTAACTCTGTTTAAGGATTCTGGGGGTCTACCATAACCTTTCAAAACACAATTTTATTTCATTGTAAGCTTATAGTAAGCTTATCATAATATTACTCATATTCGTACCATGACAACTACCTACTATCAACCAAGTAATGTATTA